GGAATTCTCTGCAGGTGCAGTGGTGCAGCTGCTCCAAACTGGGTCACGGCAGCGCTCCAACGGCTGCTCTTGTCGCAGGTTTTCGATGCAATCATGAACTTCAAGAAAGAAGAGGCTGCTAAACTGATTGAGAAACTGGACATCAAGCTGGACAGTGAGGACAAGGACAAGGAGGGCAAACCCCTGCTGAAGGTGAGGCTGGTCTGAGCCCTCTGGGGAGCAGCTGAGCAGTTGTGCTGCTCCATCTGTGTCAACATCATCCTGGTGGGGAGGTGGGAAAAGAGGGGGAGGTGAACCCCTGTTGTGAACACTCTGACTGGGTCCTGCTGCTCTGCCCAGGCCGTGATGAGGCGGTGGCTGCCAGCTGGAGATGCCCTGCTGCAGATGATCACCATCCACCTGCCTTCCCCCGTCACAGCCCAGAAGTACCGCTGCGAGCTGCTCTACGAGGGCCCCCCTGACGATGAGGCTGCCATAGGTAGGATGAGCTGCTGCTTTGCTGCCAGGCCTCAGCTCCAGCACCCCTGTAACCAGTTTGTTCTCCATGTGCACGGCCCAGGAGTGTCTGGGATTGAGTCTGTATCTTTTCTAGCATGGATCAAAGAGGATTAGTGGCTCACAGCTTGGTTCTGGAGCACTGAGCTGGCTGAGTAGTCTCAGAGTAGGCTGAGGGTCCATCTGAGCCTGGACTTGTTGAAGACGTTTCTTGGTGGTGTGATCTTCCATGGAATCTCAGAATAGATTGGGTTGGAAGAGATCTTGAAAGGTTAGCCCCATCTCCTGCCATGGTAGGGACACCTTCCACTGTCCCAGGCTGCTCCAAGCCCTGTCCAGCCTGGCCTTGGACACTTCAGGGATCCAGGGCAGCCACAGCTGCTCTGGGCACCCTGTGCCAGGGCCCCACCTCCCTCCCAGGGAAGAATCCCTTCCCAGTATCCCATCTGTCCCTGCTCTCTGGTAGTGGGAAGCCATTCTCCATTTCCTCTTGTCCAGACAAAAGCCCTTGGGCTGGGACAGTGGGTATAGGTCTTGAGTTGGAGTTTTGGGCTGGGTGCCAGATACATCAATACCTCTGGGCTAAGCTGGTCTCTCTCCCCCTCCCAGGCATTAAGAACTGTGACCCCAAAGGCCCCCTGATGATGTACATCTCCAAAATGGTGCCAACCTCTGACAAGGGACGTTTCTACGCTTTTGGCCGTGTCTTCTCTGGTCTCGTCTCAACTGGCTTGAAAGTCAGAATCATGGGACCAAACTACACACCTGGCAAGAAGGAGGATCTGTACCTGAAGCCAATTCAAAGGTGTGTCCTGGCTGGGGTGTTCTGGTGCTGTCTCAGGTCTCTTCTTGTGTCTGAGGTGTATCAAGGTGCTTGGCTGTGGGGCCGAGTGGGATCTCCTCCCCAGCCTCACTAACCCAACTTTCCCTTTAGGACCATTCTCATGATGGGCCGTTACGTGGAGCCCATTGAGGACGTGCCTTGTGGAAACATCGTGGGGCTGGTCGGCGTGGACCAGTTCCTTGTGAAGACTGGAACCATCACCACCTTCGAGCACGCCCACAACATGAGGGTCATGAAGTTCAGCGTCAGCCCCGTGGTGCGCGTGGCCGTGGAGGCCAAGAACCCGGCCGACCTGCCCAAGCTGGTGGAGGGGCTGAAGCGCCTGGCCAAGTCTGACCCCATGGTGCAGGTGAGTGGATGGGGCAGGAATGGATCCAGGGGTGCTGCCCCCAGTCCTGGGAAAGTATTGAGTGTTGCTCTCTGGCTTGGTGCTGTGACAGCGCCAGATCGGTGGGGAGAACATCTAGAAGCTCTGTGGGTCAAACACAAAAAACACGTAGAGAGCTGCTGGTGTTTGTGGCTGTGGCTCGTTCTGAAGCTTCACCTGCTGTTCCTGGTGTTCCCAGTGCATCATCGAGGAGTCTGGGGAGCACATCATCGCTGGCGCTGGGGAGCTGCACCTGGAGATCTGCCTGAAGGACCTGGAGGAGGACCACGCCTGCATCCCCATTAAGGTAGAGAGGCTGAGTGCTGGCTGAGCTCGGGGTGGGGTTTGGCCAGCTCTGGTGCCTCACACCCACCGTGTCCCTGCAGAAATCGGATCCCGTGGTGTCCTACCGCGAGACAGTAAGCGAGGAGTCCAACGTGATGTGCCTTTCCAAGTCCCCCAACAAGCACAACCGGCTGTACATGAAGGCACGGCCCTTCCCCGACGGCCTGGCCGAGGACATCGACAAGGGCGAGGTGTCAGCCCGGCAGGAGCTGAAGCAGCGGGCGCGGTACCTGGCCGAGAAGTACGAGTGGGACGTCACCGAGGCCAGGAAGATCTGGTGCTTCGGGCCCGATGGCACCGGCCCCAACATCCTCACTGACATCACCAAGGGAGTGCAGTACCTCAACGAGATCAAGGACAGCGTGGTGGCTGGCTTCCAGTGGGCCACCAAGGAGGTGAGGCCTGCTGTCTTGGTCTGGGTGGCATCCGTGGTTCTACTCTTCCTTATTTTTTTTATGCTTCTCATGGAGCAAAATGTTACATCTGGAAATCCAGTGAATAACACCACTGGCTTCAGGAGGAAAGGTGCTTTGAGGGTGTTGACAGGGATCTGGCCTTATCTAGCAATTTTCAGGATTAGACAGGAGAGGACTGCAGGGTAAATTGACAGACTAGGAACAGCAACAGGAAGGATCCATTTTCGTATACCTTTCCGTTTGAGGGAGATTCCAAGCCAGGAACTTTGGTGGCATTACTGAGACCAAAAAAAAAAAAACCATTTCCCTTGGCCAAATACTTGAGTTTCAGCCCCATAAATGTGTGACAGCTCTTGTGGCTTGAACCTCAGAGCTGAGAATGCTGCAGTGGTGGCACAGAGCTGGGAGCTGCTGCCCCACCGACCCCGTAGGTTGGGAAAGACCTCCCAGAGTCCAACCTTTGTAGCTTTGAAGCTTCATCCCTCAGCAGGGAGGTCAAGTGGCTCCTGGGTGAGCTTGCTGCTCAACGAGCTGCTTCCACAGAGCTCCTGTGAGCAGCACCCCGTGTGGGGGACACCCCGGGGCGGTGCTGTGACCCCGCTGTGCCCTGGCAGGGTGTGCTGTGCGAGGAGAACATGCGCGCCGTGCGTTTCGACGTGCACGACGTCACCCTGCACGCCGACGCCATCCACCGCGGCGGCGGCCAGATCATCCCCACGGCCCGGCGCTGCCTCTACGCCTGCGTGCTCACCGCCCAGCCGCGCCTCATGGAGCCCATCTACCTGGTGGAGATCCAGGTGAGCAGCCCCTGCCAGCCCTCAGGGGAAAGGGGGATGGCAGCTGGGCGCGGTCCTGACTCCGTTCTCTCGCGCAGTGCCCGGAGCAGGTGGTGGGAGGCATCTACGGCGTGCTGAACAGGAAGCGTGGCCACGTGTTTGAGGAGACCCAGGTGGCCGGGACCCCCATGTTCGTGGTCAAGGCCTACCTGCCTGTCAACGAGTCCTTTGGTGAGTCCTGGAGCCGTGCTGGGAGGGAGAGCCTTGGGAGGGACCTCAGGAGATCCTTGAGTTGAGCTGTTCACCCAGCACTGAACCGTGTCCCCAAGTGCCACATCCACTCAGATTTGAAAGCCCCCAAGGGTTGGGGACTCTAGCACTGTCCTGGGCAGCCATGCCAGGACTTGACCATCCTTCTGACCATCTTTCCTAGAAAGCTCTGACCCTGCCTTGGTGCAGCTTAGGGTTAGGGTGTTTCCTCTCATTCTCTTGTTGCCTGGGAGAAGAGACCAAGGTTGCAGAATATTCTGGGTTGGAAGTGCCACTTCTTCCAGTGCCACTCCTGCCATGGGCAGGGACACCTTCCACTGTCCCTGGCCTTGGACATTTCCAGGGATCCAGGGGCAGCCCCATCTGCTCTGGGAATTCCATCCCAGACCTTCACCACCCTCCCAGAAGTTCCTTATATTCCCAATATCCTATCTATCCCTGCCCACTGGCAGTGGGAAGCCATTCCCCATGTCCTGTCCTTCCATGTGTTTGTCCAAAGTCCCTCTCCAGTTTCAGGCATTAAAAGGGTCTCTGAGTTCTTCCTGGAGCCTTTTTTCCACTCCCACCTCACACTGGTTGGCCTCTCAGGAGGCTTTTGAGAGCTGCTCTGGTTTCCTCCGGTCTCTCCATGGAAGCAACATTAAACTACAACCACTCCTGTCCCACCTCACCTTTTGCCTTGTCCCTCGCAGGTTTCACAGCAGATTTGAGGTCCAACACGGGGGGCCAGGCCTTCCCCCAGTGTGTCTTTGACCACTGGCAGATCCTGCCCGGGGACCCCTTCGACAGTGCCAGCCGGCCGTGCCAGGTGGTGGCCGAGACCCGCAAGCGCAAAGGGCTGAAGGAGGGAATCCCTGCCCTCGACAACTTCCTGGACAAACTCTAATGACACTCATGGAACTCTGGGAGAGCAGGAAAAATTTAATTAATTAGCGTTATCACCCATACCGCCAGGGGCTAGACGCCTGTGACCACCGTCTCGTTAATTAAATGGGTTTCATAGCGATTTTGAGAACTTCAAATGAGGAAAACAAACAAAAAGAAAAAAAAAAAAAAAGCCTTATAGGTTTCTGTGTTGCACATGACTCATCTTTGCCATTGTAACTAAAACATTTCCACTAGATCTGCCCAATTCTGTATTTATTTGACTCAAAAAAAGAAAAAATACTGCTGCAGAATGGCCTGGAAGGGAGTGGGGCGTGCTTAAAGAGGACAAGGAAAATGGGGGGGAAAGAGAGAGGGGGTGAGGATGCCTTATCTGCAGCGTGACTGTCCGTCGTGCCCATCGCCGCCTGTAATAGTGCCACTGGAATTAATAAAATTGGATAAATGGTGACGAAAAATGAATTTTTGGGGTGTTTTTAAGGGTGAGGGTGGTGCCCCCTGGTGGCTATGGAGGGGTGGTGCCGTACGGCCACGCTTAGCCCCGCCCACCCGTGAGTAGGGGCGGAGCTTCTGGCAGAGTGGGCGGGGCTTGTGAGTATGGGCCGCTGGACATGAGCGCCGGCCCTTTTCCCTGGGAAACAAAACTCACCAGGCCAGGTTCCTGATGTCAGTTTGCAGGAGGCACTTGGCACTGTCAAACCAGCCACACTTGCCTGTGGTGGCACCTTCCATGCGGGAGGAACCCTGCGCCGTTCGGAGCCCTGCGCCGTTCGCAGCTCCCGCCGGCCGCCGGCGCCCTCAGGACGCGGCCGTGTGGGCGGGGCTTCGCGCGCGGCGTGGTTTGCGCTGAGGGGGCGGGGCCTGCTGTGCTGGAATGTGGCGGCGGCGGCGCGGGCGGCGGCGGCCCAGGTTGGGAAACGGGGGCCGGTTCTAATGAGGGGTCTGAGAGGGGCGATGTGGGGCCGGGAGGGGAGGGGAGGGGCTGTGCGGGTGGCAGAGTGGTGATGGAGGGAGGCTGGGTGCGGTGAGGAGGGAGGGATCGCTTGGGGAGCGGTGTGGGGGGTTGAGGCCTGCGGGGTGGGGTGGGGAAGGAAGGGGGGGAACGGGGCGGCTGTGGGTGTGCGGCCTGTGGGGCCGGGAGGTGCTGTGGGTCGGGATTGGGAGCGGCCGTGGGGTTCGGGGGGATGGAAAAGGAGGGGGAGGGATTATGATGGGGAGGGGCTGAGGGTTGTGGGTGTGAGAGGGGCCCTGGGGAATTGGAGCGGGGAGGGGCAGGAAGGGGATGTGCGGGGATTGGGAAGGGGGGGCTGTGGGACAGGGAGGGGATGTGCAGGGATTGGGAACAGAGTGGGTGTGGGGGCTGTGGGGGATTGGGGGGGCTGTGGGGGATTGGGATAGAAGGGAAGTGGGCCAGGAAAGGGACGAGCAGGATTGGGTGGACAGCGGGTGTGGGGCCTGTGGAGCAGGGAGAGGCTGTGGCCCCCTCCCCTTCTCTATCTGGGTTTTGGGGGGTGGTGAGACCGGGGGGTATCCCCGGGACTAGCCCGTGGCTCGGCCCCCAGCCCGGGGCTGTGCATCCCCGGGGACTCGGGGTGCCTGCGCTGGGTGCTGGTGGGACACAGCCCCCCTTTTCCCGGTGCCACAGGTGCTGATCCCCGGCTGCTCCCCGCCCCTGCCATCCAGCGCTGGCAGCAGCGGGGCGGCTCCCGCTCCAGAGGCCCCGCAGCCATGTCCACCTTCCGCCAGGAGAGCGTGGAGGACTTCTATGAGATGGGAGAGGAGCTGGGCAGGTGAGGGACATCCCGCTGCTTTCTGGGGGGGCTTCCATGGCTGCACCCCCTGCCAGGAGCTTCACTGGATCCGCTGCTGCATCCCCCGTGGTGCCCCTGTGCCCCCTCTGTAGGAAGGGGCCAGGGCTGTACAGAGTCAGGCACCTCTGGCAGATAGAGATTTTTTTAAAAAGCGTTAATTAGCGTTGTTCCCGGTGGAGCTCCGGTCCGGGCCCGGCGGCTTCCGGCCCTCCTCGGTGCCTGCGCCTGGCCCGGCGCCTGTGGGAGGATCCAGGGTGACTCAGAGCCCGCAGATGGGATTTAATCAGCCGGGATGCAGAGGCGGCGCTGGGGGAGCTGCCTCGGGATCCTCCAGCGCTGGGAGGAGCTTGGGATCTTCCAGCGCTGCCTCGGCCGCGCCAGCCCCATGCCGTGGCTCCTCCTCGGGCACTTGGGCAGCAAAAGCGTTTTGCGTCACTTAAGTGGGTTTTTTTTTTCAAAGCAGAGGAACTTCCAGGAGTTGCTCCAGGTTCTTTTGCCTCTCTGTGGCTGTGGTTGTTTGCGAGCCATGGGGAGGGATGTAGTGCCCGTGGCAAGGACCCCCCTCTGCCCCCCAGGGCTGTGTAAAGCCCCATGGCCATGATCCAGGGCTGTATAAAGGTATAAAGGATTCTCCCTGGCCATGGTTCAGAGATTTATAAAGGTATAAAGGAGTCTCCCTGGCCATGATTCAGGGATGTATAAAGGTGTAAAGGAGGCTCAGGTCCAGGTGCAGTTGCTCTGATTTCAGGCATTTCCCCTCCACCTGCCTTCTCCAGCAGGGCTTTAGGGTCTCCCACGGCTCTGGGATTTGCTCCTGGGAGCTCCAGGCTGGGAAGTGGGGGCCGATGGGGGCATCTCCCAGCCTGGGTGATCACAGCAGCACCTGAACAGCGCAGGGAGGATCTGCATCTGCCACATTCCTGGGAGGAATTCCCTTCCTCCACCCTGGCTGGTGCCAGGGCGTGCAAAGCCCAGGAGCGGGCGGGCATCACCAGATCCCACTCATGGCATTCCTGGGGGCAAAACTGCATCCTGCAGCCCCCATCCTGGAGCTGCTTGCAGCCAGGACATCCTCTCCTCCTCCCTCACCCCTCAGCGGGCAGTTCGCCATCGTCCGGAAGTGCCGGGAGAGGAAGACGGGCCTGGAGTACGCGGCCAAGTTCATCAAGAAGCGGCGGCTGTCGTCCAGCCGCAGGGGCGTGAGCCGCGAGGAGATCGAGCGCGAGGTGGACATCCTGCGCGAGATCCAGCACCCCAACATCATCACCCTGCACGACATCTTCGAGAACAAGACCGACGTGGTGCTCATCCTGGAGCTGGTGTCCGGAGGGGAGCTCTTCGATTTCCTGGCCGAGAAGGAATCCCTGACGGAGGAGGAGGCCACCCAGTTCCTCAAGCAGATCCTGGACGGGGTGCACTACCTGCACTCCAAGCGCATCGCCCACTTCGACTTGAAGGTGAGCTCTGGGAGCTGCAGACACCCCACTGGGAGCATGGATGAGCCCCCAGGTGGGCTCTGGGAGGTACAGACACCCCGTGTTCAGCACTGGAAGCAGGGATAAACTCCCAGGTGGGGTCTGGAGATCAGTGCTGAGGAGTGGAGGTCAGTGCGCTCCTGCAGAGCAGTGGGGCTGGTGCTTGGGATCTCTCCCAGCTTGATCCCCTCATCCTCATCCTCTGGAATGAAGAGCCCAAGGCAGTTCCCCCAGGCTGGTGTGTAGGGACAGACCCAGCTCCTCTCCCCTCACAGCCAGAGAACATCATGCTGCTGGACAAGAACGTGCCAAACCCTCGCATCAAACTCATTGACTTTGGGATTGCCCACAAGATCGAGGCTGGGAATGAGTTCAAGAATATCTTTGGGACACCAGAGTTTGTAGGTGAGCATTCCTGGGGGCTCCTCGGGGTACTGAGAGCTTTGGATTAATCCTGGAGAGACACCCAGCACTCCGGTGCTGCTGCCAGGATGTGTCCATGGGGCCAGGCTTCCTTCCCCCACAATAAATCCATTTTCCCCCTTTTCTCCTGAAGCCCCGGAAATTGTGAACTACGAGCCCCTGGGGCTGGAGGCTGACATGTGGTGAGTGATTCCCCTCCCAAGCCCCTTCCCATGGCTCCAGCAGCCAATCCCCTCGTGCTGGTGCACCTCCCCTCGTGCCAAAAGCTCTGTGTGACTTCATCCTCCTCTCCCTCTCTCTTCCAGGAGCATCGGGGTCATCACCTACATCCTGTAAGTATAGGGCCTGGAGGGGACAGGGCTGCAGGATGAGCCCCCCACCTCGGCCTGGAGCCTTTTTGGGGTGTCCCAACCCACTCTCTCCTCAGGCTGAGCGGAGCCTCCCCGTTCCTGGGGGAGACAAAGCAGGAGACGCTGACCAACATCTCTGCTGTCAACTACGACTTTGATGAGGAATATTTCAGCAACACCAGCGAGCTGGCCAAGGACTTCATCCGCCGCCTGCTCGTCAAGGACCCCAAGTGAGGGACAGGGAGCAGAGCTGGGGGTTCCTCTGGGACAGGGGACAGTCCCCCCTGCCCAGCCTGCTGTGCACAGGCAGCTCCCTCTCTCCTGCCTGCGCCAGGGTGGGGTGAATTCTGGGAGCAGTAGCTCCACTGGGGTTTGGGAGGGTTTGAGCTGGGCCCCCAGAGCTCAGGGCTTGGGAAGGAGCAGCGGGGTCAGGAGGTTCCCACAGGATCCTCTGCCTGTGTTTCTCTTGGGAGACAGTTTGAGGGGTTGGGGGCTGCATGCAGCTCCTGCCTGGGGGGCCCTGAGTGCAGTGAGTTTGTCCAGGCTCAGACCCCAAAGGCAATCACAGGATCCAAGCTGCTTTTCCAGGGCTTTAGCAGAGAAAGAGGAGGAAAGCCTGTGCCCTGATGCCAGCCTTGCTGTGTTTGCAGGAAGCGAATGACCATCGCCCAGAGCCTGGAGCACCCTTGGATTAAGGTGAGAAGTTAAAGAATTGGCACTTTTTGGGTGCCTGACCCCCCGAGGCTGGGGCTCTGCTGCTCCCCCAGCCCTGTGGGGGTCGGTTTGGTGTCACGGCCTGTGGGTGGGTGCTGCAGCCACAACTGTCCCTGCCACAGGTGATCAAGAGGAGGAACGTCCGCAACGAGGACAGCTGCAAGAAGCCCGAGCGGCGCCGGCTGAAGACCACGCGCCTGAAGGAGTACACCATCAAATCCCACTCCAGCATGCCCCCCAACAACACCTACATCAACTTCGAGCGCTTCTCCAAGGTCATGGAGGAGGTGGCTGCGGCCGAGGAGAGCCTCCGAGAGCTGGAGAGGAACAAGAAGTCCTTCCAGGAGGACATCGAGGCGCTGCTGTCCATCTACGAGGAGAAGGAGTCGTGGTACAAAGAGGAGAACGAGAGCATCAGCCAGGACCTGCGGCAGATCCGGCAGGAGCTGCAGAAGACGGAGGCGCTGAAGAAGCAGGCGCAGGAGGAGACCAAGAGCGTGGTGCAGGCCGCCAACGGGCTCAAGCGGCGCTACCGCAAGCTGGAGAACCACTACGAGGCCCTGGCCAAGCAGGTGGCCTCAGAGATGAAGTTTGTGCAGGAGCTGGTGTGGTCCATCGAGCGGGAGAAGCTGCAGAGCAGCGAGGGCGACGGCAGCATCCGCTAACCCGGCCGGGCCCGGGGGCTCCGCTGCTCCCGGTCCCCCGCTCGCCCCCGGGGAGTGCCCCCGGTGTGTGGGGGGTGCTTGTGCCTCCCTGGAGCCCCCACCTCGGGGGGCTGGGGCTGTGCCACCCCGGGGCTTGGCTTCCCGCGTGCAGCTCCCGCCTGGCTCGTGTCCCTGCGCTCCCCGTCACCGCTGCCGTGCTCCGGGACGTTTGTCCCCCCCTGTCACCCGGGTCCCCGAGCTGCCCCAGTGCCCCGTGGGGGGGTTGGTGGGCACAGCTCCCCTCTATACTGCAGCAGCAGCCATGCATGGGCTGGGACCAAGGACTGATCCCTGCGTGGCCTCACACTCTGCAGCCCCCCGGAGGCCCCTGCGCCCCACATTGCCCCCAGGGTGCTGCACCCCTTGTCCCCCTGTCCCAGCCCTGGCTCCCCCTTTTCCCAGAATAAAGGTTTCTGTGTAGTGGGGTGGCAGCCTCGGCTCCTGCCATGGCGGGACGGGGCTTGGGAGGGAGATAAAGATGTGCCCCGTGGTGACAGCTCCCCCACTGTGCTCCCATTCCAAAGGGGCTTCCTTAATTTGGGGGGAAAAATGCTTTTTTTCCTTAGGAGACCCCGTGCTGGTGGGTGAGCTCGCTGTGGGCATGGAGGGAGGTCTAGGGGTGGTTTGTGGGATGTTCCCAGGCTGGGGGAGCCCCCATCTCCTCTTGCCTGAGATCCCTCACTCCTGGGGACAGGGGGAACCAGCTCCCAAAGTGCCACATTCCAGAGAACACCAGGGCAGGGAGCACGTTTCCCCTGGGAGCACCGCGGGCTTTCCGACTGCCTGTGGCCCCCTGGAGCCAAGATCCAGCAGAATTTGATCCGGGGGAATCACCAGCCAAATGCCAGAGCATGGCAGGCGTCCCCCTGGCTGGCCAGGGTGAGTTCAGCTCCAGGCCCTGGGGATTTGCTCCATTTGGGATTTATTTGTTGCTCTTCTGTGGCTCCCTGGGGATCAGGGGGGCTGCCCCACATCCCTGTCCCTGCTGACGTTCCATCAGCTGTAAGTTTCACTCCCATGCATGGGACAGGTGGAGCTGTGATAATTTAATCTGCCCTGGTGTTCCCTGCCAAGGCACTTGGCTCCCACGGGAGGTGGCGTGACTGGGGCTGTCCCAGTGTCCAGCACGGGCTCTGGCCACGTGAGGGGACACCGGGGGGCTCGGAGCCCTCAGGGTGCCCCATCCTGGCACTGTGTGTGGATTTGGTGCAGCCCCAGCTCAGCTGGCACAGGCAGTGGGTGAAAGGATGTATGGAAATGCTATAGGCCCGGCTGTTCCCAAAGGTCACATAGTGAGAAACCTTTCCTGGATTCTCTTCCTGCCAAGGGTTTGGGTTTCACACTCCCAAAAGGCTCTTGGAAGTCACTGGTCATTCACCCCAGCCTCAGAGCAGCAGGGGAATCTCACTCACGTGGATGCACGAAATGACACCAAAGTAGCTCTAAAAAAGCCAAATTTGGGGTGTGATTCATGATTTGATGAGTTCTCCTAATCCTGAAGCTGCAGGAACTCGTGTTGGGAACGAAGGGCTGTGCTGCCCGGGGGGTTCCAGTGCTGTGAGGTCAGCAGGATGTTCTGCTGCAGCCCCTCTCAGCAGCTGGAGCTGCCTTTCCCGTGACATTCCCTTCTCTGTGGACAGAGACACCAAAATGCCTTTTTTAGGCTCCCATTTCTGCTTCCCAGAGTTTGGCAGGAGGTGGGAGTGAAGGCTTTTCCCTTATAAGTCTTCACAAACCCCAAACGCTTTTGCACAGCTTAAACCAACCCGTGCAGGCACAGGGAGATCCCACGGCTGCATCCCCTGGGATCTGCTGTTCCTGCCGGAGCTGAGCTGTGGGCAGTGCTCCCCAGGGTGACGGGTCACAGCAGGGTGTCCCTGCCCGGGGGTGGTGCCATCAGAGAGGGGTGGGTGTCCCCAGGAGCCACAGCTCTTTCTGGCCACGGCATCCCTGCCCAGGACAGCTGGGAAATCATCGGAGTGGGACAAGGACAAGGAGATGGATCTGGCTCCCATCAGGCTGCTGCAAGCCCCTCCTTGGTGGGTTTTTGGGTGACTACTCATTAACTAAAATTAATTAATTAAAAGCAGCTGCTTTTCCAGAGCAGTTTCTAATTCAGGCCCCAAAATCTTGGGAAGGGACCCCCAGCCAAGTTATTTCAGTGCCTGAGAGCTGCCAGTGCTGATCCCCCGGGTTTTGTATGGGCAGCTCCACAGGCACTCAGGGATGGCACTGCCCTCTCAGGCTGAAATTTGGATGCTGTTTTAGCTTTAATGCTTCAAATGGTTCCTAGGGAAGCAGAGTTCTCATTTCTCATTCCCTGAGAAATCCCCCCAGTTCCCCTCATGGATCTGAATTCACAAACTGAGCCGTTCCCCCTGGGGCCTGTGTGAGCACCCAAACCCAAGCAGTGACACGTGGAGGGAGCTTTGAGGCCACCCAGGGCTGCAATTTCAAACACCCAGGACAGAGAGGCTGCTGTTGTCTTTTGGATGAGCTTCATACCCATTTTTATTGCAATAAAGCTGAGTGATGAATTAAATCAGGACCTCAGAAGGAGACTGAAGTGGATTTTTACTGAGTTGGTGATGTTACAAACAAGCCTTGCATGAAGCATTTGTGTCTGCAGGAGCTCTCTCCTTTTCCCAGCACAGCTCTACTTGCTCTGCTATAAAAATGCTGTTTCCAGCTTCTCTGTAAGCCAGTGGAATATAAAAGAATTAAAAAATAAACCCCACCGAGGCGATCCTGTCCACGTGGTGGGAATAAGTTATCCTCAGTTTTCAATTATATACAGAAGGGACTTGCCAAAGGCAGTGGGAGAGGAGTTCACACCAATTCCCATTCCCACTTCCAAGTATTATTTACATCACGCTGTACACGGATCTTTGGGATCCTCCCAGACCCTGGAAAGGAGGAAGGGAAAAAGGGTGAGCTCCAAGCTGTTCCCAGCACAATCCCTCATCTTCCACCCTCTGGAGTTTAGTTACCTGTCAGCAATTTAGGAGCTTGTTGTGAATATCTTCAAAGACTTGGTTGTAGAGGTCATCCCTGGACTTCAGGCCATCTAAATAAACTGGGAGAGAAAAGGGGGAGTCAGGCTGGGCTTCCCATCAGAATAAGATTTTGGGAGATTAGTTTTTAAATATTTCATACTTTATTGACCCAAAGGACAACTTGTTTTTCTACTGGAAAAACAGAAGCATCCTGAAAATACAATGGCCTGTGAAATTCTTATCCATTATAAATCCCTTATTTTTCTTTTGAACTTTTTTGTCCCCTCTGAGTCCTCAAGAGTACAAAGCAAAAGGGAATAATTTCTTAGCTCTAAAACTGCCAGTATTTATCCAAAGTAGGCCAGGATTACAACTTGGGAGTAAAAATATCACCCCGCATCATCACAGTGGAAGCTTCCTCGAATGAAATCACCCAATTCCTTAAATTCCAAGGCCAAGGCTGAAGGATTTGTGCTTGGGGAAGGAAGACTCACCCACATCCACGCCAGAGTCCTCCATCTCCTTCCTGTGTTTGAGGTACATGGGCCAGACGTGGCCGTCGAAGAGGCCGGGGGGGTCGGGCACGGTGTAATTCCGTGTACTGCAGTAAAAGCATGGAGAAGGAATGTCAGGGAGGGGCTGAGGTTCAGGCTGGGTATTAGAAAATAAATTCTCATGGAGAGGATTGTGAAGGATCAGCACAGGCTGCCCAGGCAGTGGTGGAGCCCCTGTGCCTGTGTTTGGAAGGGAGGGATGTGGCACTTGGGGACGTGGTTGGGGTGAAGGGTTCATGGCTGGGCTCCATCTCAGAGATCCTCTCCAAGCCCAGCCTGTCATTCCAAGCTGACCACATCAAACTCCCTTCCTCCCCTTCTGGCCAAATTTCCCACTCTAATCCAACTCATCCCAGACCCTGTGAATGTCCACCCCTGGCAGAGCTGGAGCAGCCTGGGGTGTGGAAGGTGTCCCTGCCATGGCAGGGCTGGGACGGGGTGACCTTTAAGGACCTTGAAGGTCCTTCCAGCCCCAAGCACTCCACGATTCCATGACTAAAAGCAATGTGAAGGACAGGAGGGAGGGACTGGAGGCACACCCAGGAATGTTCTCACCTCCTCCTCCTCTTGCACTCCTGGTAGGGCACTGCCAGGTAGTAGCGAAGGTCAAACAGCTCGATCAGAGGTCTGGGGAGGGGACAAGGACACAACGTGCAGATGTCACTTTTAATGACAGCAGAAAGCATGAAATCACCCCAGACACCACAGAAATCTCTCTGCCTCTATGGGATTTGTGTCTGTTGAAGACAACCCAAGGGTAAATGCTTCCCTCACGGGTTTGTTAACTCAAAACCACAGAAAGTTTCTTTCTGAAGGTCAGAAAGGCCCAAGCAGGGACTGTTCCCACCCAAACACCTGCCACTGCTCCTGAGGGGGATCAGAGGGGATCCTGTGGAGGATCAGGCACTGGGCTGGGAACGCTGGCTCTTCCTAGATCATTCCAAAATCAGTTTGCAGCAAAATCTGGGACAGGGCAATTCCTCAGCTCATGTTCATGGAAGCGGCCAAGGCCAGGCTGGATGGGCTTTAGGGTCCCTTCCAAACCCTTCTGGGATTCCATGGTCCTCCACAAAAACCCAGGGAGTTTCTCTGCCACAGCTTGCTCCTCTCACTAAGCTCAGTGTAGCCAGTGCTAAGCAAGCACAGGAGAGAACTGTTCCTAAATTCCAGGAGAGATTCCAGGCAGTGAATGGATTATTGCCCTCTTCTCACCAAGGTGGGGGGATGCCTGCACCCCTCTGCCAGCAAAAATCCTGCTCTGAAACTCCCCTGGAGTTCAAGGCTCTGCCCTAAATTCATCTCACTTCTACATTTAGGAGTTAATTTCACATTTTTCAGCACGAAACTCTCCGGGGTGAGAATTCGGAGCAAGGCAGGAAAGGGAAATTAGTAAAAAGGAGTTTTGAGCTCTGGCACGAGGGATTTAAGGATCTTCCCTGGCAAACCATGAAGAGTTCTCCAAACCTTACTTGTAATTATAAAGCAGGAAGCCTTCAATGACCAATACATGGATATCTTGGGAGGTTGGCTCTCTAGAGCCAGGTGTGACATTCACCCCGTGCGAACGGGCAAACTTCACTGGGTTCTCAATCCAGGCCCGCACTGTGCTCACCATTGCCTCCATATCCAAGGAATCCAACACTAGTCAGGAGAAAGGGGGTGGGTGGGAAAAAGGGACACCATCAAACACCATCAAACACCATGGGCTCCAAAGTATAAAGTAGATTGAGCTCGGTAAAGTTACAATTACGGAAATTTACTGTTAAAGCTTTTAATAACGAAAAAAGAAATACTTAGGAAAAAGAATATACATTACTGCATCCTATAGGGAACACTGCTCTTACCATCCCACTGCTTAAAGCCGTCTTCCCCGACTTCTATTTGATCTTGTGGCTGAAATATAGTGAGCAATAAAACATTGCTGCAACCTCAGCGGGATCAGTTCCCTCCGATGCCATGGGCACCTGGCCACTCCTGCACCACACTCCACCCCTGGGCACTGCACCACAGCCCCGCCTGGGCTGCAGGAACGTTCACTCTCCCAGCCTGCCCCAACCCCAAGAGCTCTGGGAAGTTCCCTCGGCTCACTCACACCACTCTGGATAAAGATTTTTATGTTAAGCACTCGATACGTTGTTTTGTTAGTTGGTAAAATACTGCAGGGTGTTGTTTGTAAATCGACATATAGGGGTTTTAAAGTGTAGATACAGTTAAATAAGTGCTAGAATGTACATTTTTTTAATAGAATAGGTATTTGAGCTCCTCTAATAAAAATGCAGGTGGGTATAGCAGCACTTTGGTTGCTCAGTTACTGCTTTCCTCATGTTGGCATTCACTCAGAAGAGAAGTTACAGATTTTTATGGACAATCAAACAATGCCTCCCCCAAGGGCTCCTAAGTGACCAAAGACTGAGCACACGATGCTGGGGCTGGAGCACTTCATGTTTTGGGGATGACCCACAACTGCTCCAAGTCCATTCCTGCATCTCTTGGACTTGCACGTGTGGACAGCTCCAGGGATATCATCATTCCCATGAAATGTGCAGGGTTTAGGAACACTCTGCACTCCCAGGCAGAAGGCAGTGAAAGTCTTCTGCATTCATCTCTGCAATATTTTAACTGGGCTCTGATACAGATCTATCAAAGTTCCCCCATAAAACCCCCTTTCCATATTTAAACCAGCACAGAGGTGCTTAAATCCTAAAGCATCATTTAGCAGTCTCATTCTTAATTTAATAAAATAACGTGGGAAATCCCAACATGGAGAAAATCATTCATGCAGAGCACAGTAAATAACCTCTGCCTGAAATCAGTACTAAATTTAAATCTGTTGTTAACACTTAAAGTCTCCTGTGGCATTTGTAAAGGTCAGGAACTTCCCACCTGTCCAGTCATTTAAAAATCAAATATATATATATATAAAAACCCCCACAAAACCAGAAAGCTTGTGGCTCCTAAGCTGTCAAAGCTGACTTGCCCTGCATGTACATTTAACACCGCAAGGAAGAGGAGACTCACCTTGAAGAAATCATCCTGATGGACCACGCAGCAGTTGGGGAGCGCCTTGACGAGCCTGTTGGTCAGGGTGGTTTTGCCACCGTTGGTGACCCTGCACGGAGCGGGGCGACACAGAGGTGGAAAAATCGCATTAGAACCGGTCTGGGAGCCACGGGGACCCGCGGCGGGACAGACACCGCCGAGGGAGCCGGGCCCTGAGGGAGCCGGGCCCTGAGGGAGCCGGGCATTGACCCTGAGGGATCCGAACCCCGCCCAGCAGCGGGAGCCCCTGAGGGATCCGAGCCCCTGAGGGATCCGAGCCCCTGAGGGGACCCCGACATTGCCCCTGCGGGTCCCCACCCCCGCCCGCCCCTCCCCGTTTGAATTTCCCGCCCCTCCAGCGCCGCTCGCCGATTGGCTGCGACCACCCCCAGCCCCGCCTTTTCCCCGGCTGCCGATTGGCCGTCACCGCCCCTTCCCGGTCGTGCCCCCTTCCAGCGCCCCGCGCGCGCGCGCGCTTCGGCCGCGTGTAACGGCCCGCGCCGCTTCCCGCGCGCGCGCAACGGCGGCGCTGAGGGGAGCGCGCGCGCGCGGGGCCGCCATGGCCGGTCCCTGACAGCCCGGACCCTGAGGGAGATGGAGCGGCCGAGCCGCCCTCACTCCCTCATACACCCCATAACCCGTTTAATGAAAAAGCCCTGAATATTCCTCCTTTTTTTTTTCTTTAAATCCCATGGCTGTATAAATCCCTCCGTCGCATATTATTATTAATGTATAATCATTCTAATAACCCGTATTACCCTTCACGGTTCCATTTCCGGAACTCTCCCGCCGCACTCTCACCCCCTCCCAGCACGAGCACAACTTCAATCCTGCTTTTTAAAATTAAAAGCAATGCCCTTTATACACCACCACCCCATTTTAATAGAAACGGGATTTTCCCCCCTCTTCGTCTTGCAGAGAAAACTTTAAAAGAATTTTCTTGGTCTATCTGGCCTCTAAATTTACTTGAGAGAGTGTTTTTTGCCATCTCAGCATCCCTCCTCTTAAAACTATAAAAGGATATAAAACTGTGGATAAAAGTATCTCTACAAATATATAAACGTGTAAGTATATAATTTGCATATATAAATATATATATAACACGAATAAGTATATAAAATGTAAAGTGTATATAGATAAGTCTGTATGAAAGGATGTGCTGCCCTGCAAAACTCCGTTGAAACAGCATCCATCCTTTAAATCTTATTAAATATATAATAAATTAAAAAGATATATCAAGTAAAAGTACATCTAAAAGTATATATTGATATATATTAAAGAATATATAAAAGTGGATGTCACCCTGCTGTATTTAAGCATCACACGAATTAACACTCATCAAGTTGCATCATCTCTCAAATCCTATATCCCGAAAATTTTATATTCTTTTATATTATTTTATTTTATAACCAGATAAACAACCCCCAAAAATTCAACCAGGAAAAACCATAAAATAAACCAGATTTTAGCAGGGACTTACCCTCCGATGCCTATAATATATTTCATTTTGCCGAGTCGCCTCTTGAGCCGGAATGTGGCGAGAGAGGGGGGAAAAAAAACCCCAAAAAAAACCAAAAAAAAGAACTTTTTCTTTTTTTGAGCGGAACAAAAACCCCGCTGTCCCTGTTCCTTTTTTTTCCCGTGTTCTGCTCTGCCTCCCCGAGCCTTTCATTGAGGAAAAGGCGTTTTTGGGGAGGATTTATAGCGCCGTGTCCCCGCCCCGAGGAGCCCTGTGACCGTCATGAGCCGCGGTGTCACGTTTGGGGCAGGGCGGCCGAGCCTCAATGTCACTTTTTGGGGGGGTTCGACCCCTCAATGTCACTTTTTGGGGGGTTCGACCCCTCAATGTCACCTTTTGGGGGGGTTCAAACCCTCAATGTCACTTTTTGGGGGGGTTCAAACCCTCAATGTAACATTTTGGGGGGGGGGGTTCGACCCCTCAATGTCATTTTTGGGGGGGTTCAAACCCTCAATGTCACTTTTTGGGGGAGTTCAACCTCTCAATGCCACATTTTGGGGGGGTTTAACCCCTCAATGTCACTTTTTGGGGGGGTTTAACCCTTCAATGTCACTTTTTGGGGGAGTTCAACCTCTCAGTGTCACATTTTGGGGGCGTTCAAACCCGCAATGTCACTTTTTTGGGGGGGGTTCGACCCCTCAATGCCACATTTTGAACAGTTTCAACTCAATATTGTCACATTTTGGGGGAGTTTCAGCCCCTCAGTGTCACATTTTGGGGAGGGTTTAACCCTCCAGTGTCACATTTTTGGGTGATTTAACCCCAAATGTCCCATTTTAGTGGGGGTTAACCCCTCAGTGTCACTTTTTGGGCAGTTTCAACCTGACAATGTTACATTTTAGCATATTTTAACCTCCAAACATCACATTTTGGGGGGGTTCAGCCCACCCCCGAGTGCCACATTTTGGGGGCTTTTCAACCCACCCTTCAGCGTCCCATTTTTGGGGTGTTCAACCCCCCAGAACCCCAATTTAGAATCCTTTCACCCAACCCTTCGAGTCACACTTTGTGCTGCTCCAACCCTCAAATCCCACATATTTTGGGGTGGAATAAACCCTTCAACCCCCCCAAAAATCACATTTTTTCTTGCGATTCCACCCATTTGAGGGGAATTTCAGCCCACCCTGCCAGCTCCCGTTTTTGGGGGGCTCACCCACCCCCACGTCACCCTGCACCTGTCCCTCTCCCTCGCTGGCCCCATCACTGTGGTGGCCAAAAATAACTTTTTGGCCAGCTCTTGCTTTTCCTAAATTAGTCATGAGGCAGGTGGAAATGTCACCCTGCCACCATCCCGGGGAGCCACAGAGGAAATAATTAAGTCGGGATTTTTTTTTTTTCCTTGCTGTCTCCCCTCCTTTATTCCCCAAATCCCCCCCCCCAAAAAAAAAAAAAAAAAATCTGATTATTTGAAACTCATCCAGGGAAAGGAATTTTTCTCTAAACTCCTAGGAAAAAAAAAAAAAGGGAATTAAATTTCAATTTTTTAAATTTTTATTTTCCTTTTCAGTCGAGCTGTTCAGAGGAAGGAATGAGGAGTGAATCTTCCGGAATGTCTCTTTACAAGGAATTTTTGGAACAGTTTATTTTTTGTAAATAGACCCAAATTCCTAAACAATTATCTCTCCAGAGAGCCTCCTCCTCCCCGGTTAACTCACATAAAAGAAGGCTTTTTAAGGTAAGTTAACTCCACACCTTGTGAAACCTGGGCTTTAATTTGAATTATTCCAGATGTTCCTTAATTGGGGTTCTGGGAGCAATGCCAGGCTTTTCAACATTATTTTTTGATGTTTATAATGTGCATTTTTAAACAATATCTTGCCTTGTTCTTCCTTTTTTATAAAACCACAGTGTGGCAGGATTAAAAGGTCGCTGTTAAAAGTATCAAAGGGATGGTAAAAAAAACCAGTAACACCAAATTTGGGTATTTGGGGTCCTGTTTGACATTTTGCCTTGGAGTCTTCAGCTTTTACAGTGTAAAATCCAAATATCCAGGATTCCAAGGGAAGTTTTGGAAGGAATATACATATTTTATATATATATCTAAAAAAAATTTAAACTTTTCTATATATATATGTATATATATATATATATATATATATATGTGTATGTATGTATATATGTTTTGGGTTTGGTTTTTTTTGCATCTTCTTTGCCTCATTCCACCCCATGGCACCATCCCACTCCTTCTTCATATCCCCATTATTTTCATTATTTCCCTCTAATTATGTTTGATGCCATTAACTTTTATTCAGACCTGCTCCTGAGCTGTGTTTGATTTTAATTTCTCTCTTTCAGGCCTGAAGAAGAAGTTTGTGGCCTCAAACTTCCTTTGTCTCAGCTCAGCTCTGTCCGTTGAGCTAAAATAAAAATAAAAATGTTGTTTTTCTCCTCAAAGCTGTTTCTGCTCCTCAGCCACAAGGCCAGGTGCTGAAATGAGCTGCTCATGAATAAACATGAGCTGCTAATTAGGGCAATTTTAACTGGCAGAGGTCAAGATTCTGGAGGTTTTGCAGGGAGGAAATTGAAGGCAAGAAAAGAAATCAGGTTTAAGGTAGAACCTGGTGAATTTATGGGTGGGAATACAGCAAATGAGCTTTTCCAGTGTTCCTATTGTTCTTATCATGAGGGGAAATATTATTAAATAATAAATAATATCATTAAATAATAAATATTACATAATACTAGAAGAAAAAATATAATATATATAAAATATATAAATAAATATATATAAAGATATAAATATATATTTTTATATAATATAATGAATATATAAATATATAAATATATATAATATATAAAATATAATATAATATATAATATATAATATAATGTAATATATATAATATTATATATTATTATATATTATTATTATATATAATATAATATATAATATTATATATATAATATATATCATTATATATGCTATATTATAATAGATAATATATATAATATATAAAAGGTATATAATATATAAAATATTGTATATGATAGATTATATAAATAATATCATATATATAATATATATTATAGGTTTCTATTATAAAATAATATATAATATATGATTATGTAGCCTATATTATAAATAATATAATAATATTGTTAAATAATAAATATTAATAAATACTTTGATTGTTCTTTGCACTTTCCCCATCAGTTCCAAGGTAAAATGATAATTCCAGAGAACTCTGGAGCTTGGATTCCTGAATTTGAACAACCCCAGGGAAGTTGAATTTCCAGCCCTGCTTGGTCCTTGCAGGGTGTCCCCACATCACCCCCTGTAATTAAGCTAAAAAATGATAAATTGTCCTCAAATTAGCTCCTACTCAAAATTTTTATGCCTTTTATTGCTGTTCTCACCCACCCTGAGCCAGGACGTTGTCAGGATGATTTTACTGTGTTTGACCTCACGAGAAGGGAAAAAGAACCAAAAAATCTCCAAAATTGTATCAAAGTTCCGAGGGAACCCGGCTGCCTCTGCTCCTGTTCTCTTCCCTCTGCTAATCCAAATATTTCTGGAAAATTCCATCCCAGTGAGGGAAATTTGTCCAGTTGGATTTGCCTGCAGGGACGTGGCTGCTGAGGATTTTACCTTTGGGAAAAACAAATAAAAAAAAAGAGATTTTGGCCAAAGTTGTATGAAAAGAAACAATGAATTTTTAGTGTATGAAAAGACACAGTGAATTTTTGGTGTATCAGAAGACACAGTGAATTTTTGGTGTATCAAAAGAAACAGTGAATTTTTGGTGTATGGAAAGAAACAGTGAATTTTTAGTGTATGGAAAGAAACAGTGAATTTTTGGTGTATCAAAAGACACAGTGAATTTTTGGTGTATGGAAAGAAACAGTGAATTTTTGGTGTATCAAAAGAAACAGTGAATTTTTGGTGTTGGAAGCACCACAATCAGGGTGGGAGCAGCAGGACTGGATTGTTTGGGATCAGGGAATCAGAGCAGTGTCCCGTTATCTCCACAAGGAATTTCAACATTTCTGTTTCTTCTGGGAACGGGAGGCTTGGAGGACACAGGAACCGGCTGTGGCTGCTCTTGGGGTTTTTTGAAGCTCAAACCTCATTCCTGTCAGTGTAAAATTCATTTTTTCTCAGTGTAAAAGCTCATTTAAAAGTTCCTTTTCCTCAGTGTAAAAGCTCATTTTTTCCTGGGTGTAAAATCTCATTTCCTTCAGTGTAAAAGCTCATTTAAAAGTGTACAAAATCTCATTTTTAAACTTTTTTTCCCCAGCCCCTCAGTGCTCCCCTTTCCCCAGTTTTTTTTTTAGGGTTGATTTTTCTCTCTCTCCTATTCCTGCTCACACCCCAGCCATGCTGGGAACTGGAATTCACCCTCATAGCTCGAATTCCCAAATTCCTGCCTGCCCTGGGAGCTGCTGCTGCCCTGGAGGTGCCTGCCTGTATTTGGAGATCCCATTCCAGCTGTCTCCTTCCTTCCTTCCTTCCTTCCTTCCTTCCTTCCTTCCTTCCTTCCTTCCTTCCTTCCTTCCTTCCTTCCTTCCCCCAAACCACAAAAATATCAAATACCACGATGAGTTATGCAAATGGCAGTGCTCAGAAATGCTTTTTTTAGCCCCCTTTTCTGGCGAGCTGCTCGTGGGTCATCTGAAACTTCCTTTTTTTGGGGTTTGTTTGTGGCAGAGATAAGTTTTATCTGCCTGACACTTTACTCATACAAATGCCATTCACCAGGGAGTCTGAATCAAAGACAGGCAATGTTCCCTCTCCAAATGTTATTTTTAGAGTACTAATGTTTACTGAAAGCTCGCATTAATATTCTTTGTTCAAACTTAGCTAAATTTAGCAGCAGGCAGTTTAATAATCCTGGAGCCACGGGGGCATCATTCCCCAGGGATTGCTGAGTTCCTGGGTGCCTGCTGCAGAACGTGACTCATTTCTTCTGCAGCTTTAATTCACAATTTTAATCCTTCACTAATCATAAGACGTTGTTTATGGCACGAGCAAGGTTACACCAAGGTTCCTCCTGCCCGGAGGGCACGTCAGAGGCGAGAAATGGGAATTATTTTCACTTGGGATTGTTGAAGTTTGGGGTTATTTATTTTTCCCAGCACTCTGGGGGTGTTGGGGGGCTCAGAGTCCTTCTCCAAGGCTGGGGAGCTCCCGAAGCCTCGTGAGAACAGGGAAGAGAGGAGAACTCACCCTGACCCCCAGGGACTGCAGCAGCCCAGAACGAGGAGCACGAGGGAGTGGAAGAGCAGAGTTAATTGAGGAATATTCCGAATATTAATTGAGGTTTGAGCGGCTGGCATCTCCTCCTGGTGGCTGCCAGCCAGGGGCTGCCACCAGCAGGGTGACATTGCCGGTGACAGCAGGTCCTGGGGGAGATGTCACATGGGGAGTTTGGACACGGCAGGGCTGGGCAGGAGCAGCTGTGCCCACCAGGGAGAAAATAACCGGGGTGTCACTGCCTTGGGAAGTGGGATCTGCCTGGAAAAGGGTCCTGGAGGGGAGGAGGGACCTCAGGGACAGAGCCCGGGAGGGGCTGGGGCTGTGCCAGGGGGGTGGGATGGATCCCAGGAAAACCATCAGGGAGACCAGGGCAAGGCTCAGGGAACTGGGATGGAGATCAGGAAAGGTTCAGGAATTTGGGATGGAGATCAGGAAAGGTTCAGGGGTTTGGGATGGAGAGCAGGGAAAGGTTCAGGGATTTGGGATAGAACCCAGGAAAGGCTCAGGAATTTGGGATGGATCCCAGGAAAGGCTCAGGGATTTGGGATGGATCCCAGGAAAGGCTCAGGGGTTTGGGATGGATCCCAGGAAAGGCTCAGAGATTTGGGATGGATCCCAGGAAAGGTTCTTCCCCTGAGGGTGGTGGGCACTGCCCGGGCTCCCCAGGCTGCTGGGCACATCCCCAACCTGCCAGAGCTCCAGGAGCCTTTGGAAAACCCTCTGGGGCTGCTGTGGATCTTTGGATCGTGCTGGATTGCTGAACAGAACTGGAATCAACAAAAAGCCACAAACAAGCCCAGAACTGCACCAGGTGAGATCCAGGCGTGTGCTGGGGAGGGAGGGAATGTTCCAGCCCTTTCCCTCTTTTCCTCTCACATCATCACTTTCTTCTCCTCCCCTTGGCTGTGATTCATTGAACCCTGAAAGACGAGAGCAGTGTAAAAGTGGATATTTAAGGATTTCTTGGATTTCTTGGTGCAGACAGGAGGCCTCCCCCAGTGACTCAGCCCCAGGAGGTGAAATCACCCAGGAATTCATCCAGAGGGAAACCGAGCTGCCCAAAACCACATCTCATCTTTGGGAGGATGAAACGAGCCAGGGTGAGCCTCGTTTTTGGGAGAAATCCTCGTTATCTTCAGCTGGGAGTCTGGATTTGTGTCTGGAGACCAGCCAGGATGGGAATATTTGGAATATTCCGTGTGGAATGAGCTTTTCCTGGAGATTGCTGCACTCAGGAGCCCCAGGGAAGAGCAGCCCGTGGGAGGAGAGATTCCAGCACTGAGGAGGTGGCAAAATGTGATTTTCACTTGTAAAAGTCAGATTGAAGTTGGAAAAGATTTTTTTTTTTAAATTCCACACAGGGCTGAATTTAAATTCCAAGTTTTTGGGTTTTTTTGTTTGGATTTTTTTTTTTTTAAATTCCACACAGGAACAAATTCCTTCCCCAAATCCCACCCATCCCTGCCCTCCCTGTGTCCCGTCCCTCCATCCCTTATCCCAAATCCCTCTCCAGCTCTCCTGGAGCCCCTTCAGGCCCTGCAAAACCCCAATTTGGTCACCCCAAAGCTCCCACGTGATTTTTGATGCCATAAATTGAATATTTGAGCTACAAAATTGCAACCCAAAACAGATTTTCTATAGAAATTAAACAAAAAAAGCAGAGGGTGAGCAGAAAAAAAAGAAATTGGTATTGATCCTGAAAGGATTTTGGTTTTTGGGAGAAAATAAAATCACAGCAAAAAATCTGCTTCATACAAATTTACAGCACAAATGTAGCCCTAATTTAAAATTAATTTCAATTAATATGCATTTCCTGAAAGAATTCACAGCATGACTACAGCAATGCTTGTTAGAGGATCAGACTTGTATATATTCCTATTTCCAGTTCATTAATTATGTTAATGATTGGTCTAAACCCACTCAAATTAGACATCTCACTGTAAATAGTTGGGTTTTAAATATTAAATAATATTAGCTATTAATAATATCAATATTACCAATAAAAAATGGGTTATTGGGGTTTTTGGCATTTTTCCATTTAAGTGGCTTTGGGTTGTTTTTTTTTATAATTCAATTTCCAGTCATGGTATTAATTGGATTATAAAAATAGATGTAAAAATAATGTGAGATTGTGTGAGATGAGCAGGGTCCTGTTCAGCTCGATAGAAACCCAAAGAAAGGAAATTTTTCCATGGTTCTTTCCTAAAGCTGAGGGAAACTGGGAAAGAATCCTCCAGGAGTTATTTTAGTAAAAACACTTGGAATTTTGCAGTGTCAGAATTTCCTCTGGATGCTTTTCTTCAAGGGAACAACATCCAAACAACGAATTTCCCTCATATTTTCCACATGAAGCCAAATCCTAAATAAAATCTAGACAGGAGGAAGGGTTGGCTGAAGGATTAGTCTCATTTTAATAGAATATCCACAGATTTTATGGAATAATACAAAGCAAAACTCAGGGTACAGATGAAGAGTCCGCTAGCACAAACCACCTAATTACAACCACTGCAGAAAATGACATTTCACACCTTTGTACAGGTGGGGTCGGGCTGGAAAGGAACAAAAAAAGAACAAAAAAAGAACAAAAAAAGAACAAAAAAACCACAAAAAAAGAACAAAAACACCCCTGGGATTGTGGTTTATTGTCGTGGTGAGTTCTGAACTCCACTTTGCCAAAACCTGCTGCGTTTCTGGCTGCCAGGAAGGAAGGAAAGAAGGAAATAGAAAAGAGAAAAATGTGCTTTTTGTGGTTTTTTTGTCCCTTTCTCCTGCTCCAGGCCCATCCCAGCTCGTCACCACCAGCCTTTCCTTGACGCCTGGGTTTTTGAAATCCTCTAAAAAAGAGGATTTGTTGCCTTTAAAACCTTTTCTGCACCTCTGTGGGGAATAAAGATGGAAAAATTACCGTGAGGGAAGCTCTAAATATCCACTGACATTTACACAGCACTGGACAGAGAGAATTGGGGTGAATTCCTGCCCCGGAATCCTCAGCAGGATCCCAGCTTTGGTTCCTGTGCCTTCCTTGGGAACCACAACAAAAATTCATGGCCCAAATCTGGGTGGAAAAACCAGAAAAGCTGGAGTTTCTGGAGCTGGGGATAAATCCCCCAAGAGAGGGGAAGGGAATTCCTGCTCTGCACAGGAAGAAATTGGATTTTTTAGCTGATGTGAATTGAGGTCCTGCAATTAAACACACAACGGGTAAAAACACCAGGATTTGGGTGAATATGGGCACAAAAGAACATTTTCTGCAGCTAAAATGTGACTTCCCATGGATTCACCGGGAAGAAAAACTCTCAGGAAAAATCAAATCCGACCAGAAAGTGCTCAGTACAATCCAGGGAAGTGAGAAATGAAGACCTTGGTGCTGCAGGGATGGTTTTGTGGGGCAGCAACGGCGCCTGCTGCACGTCTGGGGCGCTGAGCAGTCCAGCAGTATTGCTAAAGGGATGAAGTTCATTTCATTTTCTTCTTTAAACATATTTATATATTTATATACTGCTCACAGTTCTTCTGGAAATGCACTTCTACCAGCAGCAGTGCAGATTTCTCCCCATCCAGCTGGGATTTGTCACTCCACCTTTGGGACAGGGACATTTTTTTGGTGTTTTTTCCAAGAATTTGTAGCTTTTTGTTTTGCAACCAACACCTAAAATCACTTGTTGAAATAAGTTAATGATAATTAATTTTTTTTTTCTGCTATAAATTGCACTTTTGACATTTCTAATTTCTCCTTGATGGGGCTGCAGGTTCTTCTCTGTGTTAAAAGACATAAAAACTTTATCCACGTATCCATCCATCCATCCGTGAAGATAAACTTTACATGCTTAAAAAACTGTGAAAAATTAAAACCTAGTGCACACCCCTTGGGGTGCTCCATCACAAAGTGCATTTTTTGAAACAAAACAAAACCAAAAACTGCTTCCAAGATGTTAAAAATTGATTTTTTTTTTTTTTATGGAAACATCTGCCCACCTCCACCTCGTGAAGGGAAATTTGGGATCTGTCCTTTTCCCAGCTGAAATGCCCTCACTCTGAAGGAATTACTTGGAAAAAGGTGAAGTTTCATTGTCAGATCTGCTCATTCTGTATTTTTTATTTTTTCCTGGAGGTGCAGACAGAGTGGTTTTGGGAAGGAATGAAACAACCAAAAAAACAAATTCCATTCTGGTGTGGATCCAGAGCCCCCTCATGAAAGGAGCTTGGGATTCCTTATCTCCCACATCCATATTTTCCATCACAGCAGCATTTTTGAACGATTTTTGATGCACAAAAGTTGGGTTTTGACCCCATAATTCAACATTTTATCCACTTGATTGTTGTACAATTGCAAACTTCCCCTGCAGTGCCAGCCTGGGTCACTGATGGTGGAAAAGCTGATGGTTTTCCCTCTAAATCCATAAAAACAAAGGGAAAAAAGAAAATCAACTTGAGTTGAACTTGAGGAGCTTTGTGATTGTTCATGGCCAGAAATAATTGGTTTAACCAGCAAAGTCCTTCCCTCACCCCTGGGACAGAGCCAGTGGCAGGGATCCCAGCTCTGCTGAGGGAATTTGGGAATTCCTGGCTGCTCTTTCTGCCTCCAGGCAGAGCTGGGAGCTCAGGACAGCACGGAGGTGTCACCTGCAATGAACCTGAGCTCCACAAACACCTGAGGGCTCCTCTGGCCTCCAAGCACAGAATTCCTTGTGAAATCCCAGACTGGGTTGGGTTGGAAAGGACCTTAAATCCCACCCAGGCTGCTCCAAGCCCCTTCCAACTTGGAATGTTTTATCAATAATTTGTTTATAATGAGCTTGGTTGGTGCTTTTTATTTATTTGTTTTTAGGTGGAATGTGGGATTTATTTTTTTTTTTCCATCTTCAGCCTCTGGGTTGGTGCTGTGGGTGCAGTGCCCTGCTTTCCATCCGTGGCTGGAGTGTGTGAGGAGAACATCCCAAATGAGAATTTAGATTAAAAAGCACTTCTGGTGCTTCCTTGGAGCCCCCAGGGGAAGGAGGATCTCATCCAGATGGTTTTGTTCACTGAAAGGAGGAGAAAAGCAGCTTTGTGTGTCCAGAGGAGCCATCCCCACCTTCAGGAAAAACCCTGCTTTGCCAGAATTCTCCTTGAAGTGAAGAAATGGGCAGGGAATTCTTCATCTGAAGAATGAAAGGGGTGATGAAGTGAAGAAATGGGCAGGGAATTCTCCATCTGCAGGTGTTTGAGAGGGGTTTTACCTGATCATGGAATCAGGGAACCCTGGAATGATTTGGAGGGAGCTGAAATCCCCCCCAGGGCCACCCTGCCATGGCAGGGACACCTCCCGCTGTCCCAGCTGTCCTTGGGCACTTCCAGGGGTCCATCCCAAGGCCATGCCAGCTGTCTCTGCCTCTGAAATCAGGAATTTCCAAAGAATTTCGGCCAGAATTTGTTCCTTCATTTCTTTTCCCCCTCCTTTGCTCCTCACCAGCCCAAATCCTGAATTCCAAGGGTCAAAGTCCCACCTGAGCCCCAGCAGCCATCCCTGTGTCCTGCACTCTCCGTGGGGGCATTCCGGGCTGGAATGCTGCTGGGATGAGCATTTCCCTGCTGAGGGAACCTCCCAAAATTTCAGCAGCTCCTGGGAGGCGTCGATTGTCCAGTGGCGCCGCGTTGAGACGGAGACAAGGCCTGGGGAACTTCCCTGTGCTGGAAATCTCCTTCGAAACCCCGACCCTCTGGGGTGTGTGCCCTCGGGAGAAGGTCCTGTGGGATCCCTTCAGAGAGCCTCACGCGCCTGGATGGGATAAACCAGGAAAAAAACGTGGAAAACCATGGAAAAACCGTGGGATTTCCTGCTGGGAATGAGTTCCAGAGTGAGGGTGGAAGCTGGCAGTGCTGCCCAGGCTGTGGGCACCTGGAATCTTCAGGAGGAGACTCACACTGGCTGGAAAACGGAGGGAAAAGCTCTTCCCATTGCCTGTGGTCGTTATTCCCAGGGGTGGCAGCTTTTGGGGTGTCCTGGAGGAACTGGGGGTGCAGCTCAAAGCAAGAGGGCTCCGCGCTGGCCAGCAGCGAGTGAAGGGTTTGTACTTGAAACCAAAAATAAATTCTCTTTCTGGGCTGGAGATTCATGGACGGGAGGATGCTCTTGACTTACTCCAAAGATACACAGTGAGTATTTGCCCTGTGCCAATGCTCTCCACAGACCATTCCCTAAACACACCAGAACCTTTTCTCTAAAGTGCTGCTCTGGCTTCGTTTTCTGGGGGGGTTTGGTTGGTTTTTGTTCTTCTTTTTTTTCTTTTCTTTTTTTTTTTAAAAGGAAAGTGATTCCCAAAAGGTTAAAAGACTTTGCATCCTGGAGGCAGAGGAGGCAGGCTCCAGGGTTTACAGGACTTGGAAGAAGGTGGTGGCAAGCTCTTGTCCCCAGAGGTCGCTGAGGTGGGTGACTGCCAGGCTGCTCCTTCTGCTCCATTCCTCGTGCTGCTCCCACTCAGGACATGCTGGGCAGAGAAAAGAGACAGGAGGGATTGTCAGGCAGCAAACTGAGGTAAAAAAATGTGATTATTGCCACCACACCAGCAACAAAAAAATATAAATGAGTGGATTTGGGTGAAATGGTTCACAGAAGTGTGGTGGGGACACTGATGGTGGCAGTCATGGCTCTCACGGGCAGAGGGGACAATGTGACACCAGGCTGGGGGATCCTGGGCCTAAGCCAGGCTTGGCTTTCCTGGCCATGGATCACAAATGGCACAGGATGTGTCCCAGCCACACAAAGAGCTCAAACCTGGTCTCCTGATCCTCTGCTGGGGGCACGGGCCTGCTGCAAAGAGATAATAAAAATAAATAAATCTCCAGCACATAAAAAATGATAAATCTCCAGCACAAACCAATCTCTGCCCTGAGCTCCTGGATGTTTCTTGGGATATTTCAGCCTCATCCAGGGGATCTTTCCCTGTTCCCCTCAGGAATCAGAATAAGCAGAGAGGCTGTATCCCTCTGATCAGGCCACGTTATCCTGCTGAAGGATTTTATCTTCCAAACCCCTCCAGAATTTCTCTTCCCCACAGTTCCAGCCTTTATCAGCTCCTGAATGCTCTGGGAGTGTCCTGGTGGATCCCAGGGGTGCTCCCAAGCTGTGGGGCTGCTCTTATCCCCAAAGGCTCTTCAAGGGAAGGGTAAACCAGAGGAAAGGAAAAATCAGAGGGAAGGGTAAACCAGAGGAAAGGATAAATCAGAGGGAAGGGTAAATCAGAGGGAAGGGTAAACCAGAGGGAAGGGTAAATCAGAGGGAAAAATAAATCAGAGGAAAGGAAAAATCAGAGGGAAGGGTAAACCAGAGGAAAGGATAAATAAAAGGGAAAGATAAATCAGAGGGAAGGGTAAATCAGAGGAAAGGGTAAAACAGAGGAAAGGGTAAAACAGAGGGAAGGGTAAATCAGAGGAAAGGGTAAATCAGAGTCCCTACCTTTCCCCCTCAGCCATGTCTTGCTTCTCCTCTGCCCTGTAAACACAAATCCCATGGGAATCCATCCCCAGTGGGAAGGAGGGACACCCCAGTGCCTTTCTGGGGCCTTGGAGAGGAGCCACTCTCCATCCCTCCCCAAATTCATCTTACCTTTCTTTCCTGGCCTTGATCCTCTCTTCTTCATACCTGCAACAAAGACAAAACATCTTTCAACTGCTGCTGTTCCCTTTTGGTGCCATGTGGTGTTTGCTGAGGGTGGCAGAAGCTCCGGGCTGCCACAGCCTGAGGCTCTTCCTTGGCTGAGACCAGGTTTGCCCAGGCTCTGCCTTCCCCAGCCCATGGATTTGGGGTTGTGTGCTGCCCTCCCCAGAGCCCCAGGGTCCCTGTGGCACTCACTGCAGGACACAGTCTGGGATCTGCACGTGCTCCATGGGGATGAGCTGCTCCAGCTCCTCCAGGCTGTGGACGTACTGGATCTTATTGATGAACTTCACACTGGCACAGAGAGACACAGAGAGGAGCAGTGCCACCCCAGTGGCTCCTAAAAACACCTCTGGAGGGGTCACTGGAGGGATCTGAGGGATGGAGGACAAGTGACAGCTTCACCCTGGTCACCCCTGGCTGAGGGTGAGCTTAAAATCTGATTTGTGAGATTAAACCCCAGGGAAGGGCTGGGGCTGTGCCAGGGGGGTGGGATGGAGATCAGGGAAAGGTTCTGGGAATTTGGGGTGGAGATCAGGGAAAGGTTCAGGGGTTTGGGATGGAGATCAGGAATGGTTCAGAGATTTGGGATGGAGATCAGGGAGAGGTTCAGGGGATTGGGATGGAGATCAGGGAAAGTTTCAGGGGTTTGGGATGGAGATCAGGAATGGTTCAGAGATTTGGGATGGAGATCAGGGAGAGGTTCAGGGGATTGGGATGGATCCCAGGAATGGTTAAGGGGTTTGGGATGGAGATCAGGAATGGTTCAGGAATTTGGGATGGAGATCAGGAATGGTTCAGGGATTTGGGATGGAGATCAGGGAAAGGTTCAGGGGTTTGGGATGGATCCCAGGAATGTTCTTCCCCCAGAGGGTGCTGGGCACTGCATTCCCCAGGGAATGGTCCCAGCCCCAGCCCTGCCAGAGCTGCAGGAGCGCTGGGACCGCTCTGGGACAGGCTGGGATTGTTGGGGTGCCTGTGCAGGGGCTGGGGCTGGGCTGGATGATCCCTGTGGATCCCTCCAAACTGAGGATGTTCCATCACTCTGTGATTCCAAACCCCCACCCCAAAGCCAGCTGTGCTCACCTGATGAAGGGTCTGGAGATGGCCAGCACGGTCCGGATGAACCACGAGGGGTGCACGATGATCAGGGCCTTGAGGTTCTTCCTCAGCCTGGGGACAAGTCAGGGGACAGAGTGTCACATTCCAAGGACATTTCCTAAACTGCCCTGTGCTGTGCTGGGCTCTGGCAGGAGCTGCCCAGCCTCAGCTGGGGCTGTCCAGGTAAAACCCCTTGGGAAGCTCATCCCAGCCCAGCAGGATATGGAGCACTGCTCTGCTCAGCTCTCTATAATATCATTTATAATGATATTATAATATCATTATAAATCAAAATATTCCTGGAGAGGGCTTGGAGCAGCCTGGGCTAGTGGAAGGTGTCCCTGGCCATGGCAGGGGAGTGCAAGGAGGTGACATTGAGGTCCATTCCAGCACGTGGGAGGTGTAAGGAATGTGGACTGGCTCAGACTCATTCCTGTTGAAGAGCAGCATCTGATTTTCCTTTGAAGAGTCCTGGGAATGATGGAGGGGCCTCACCAGCAGGATTCTCACCTTCTGTCAATCATCTGGTAGCATTTCTTGAGCCAGCCCAGGCCGGGCATCCTCCTGCGGGGCGTGGCCCCGTTCAGGTACACGATCATGTAGTCCTCGGCCACCAGCAGCTCCAGGCTGCTGATCACATACCTGCCGGGGTGAGCAACAGGAACCCGAGTGAGACCCCAAAAACATCCTCTAGATTCCTTCAAGTGCTCTGAAACAGCTCCAGGCCCTTTCTTTGCAGGGCTGGGAAGGGGTTTGGCGTCCCGGGGTGTCCCTCAGTTTGTGCCCTGCTCCATTCCCTGCCCAGCAGCTCCAGCCTGGATCTGATTCCATCCTGACCAGAAATAACCGGAATGTTTGAACGCTTGGGTGTCACCATCACATTTTCTGAAAAATCCTCTTTGCCCAGGATTCTTCTCCTGGGAAGCTGAGAAGCCTCAGAGAAAAAGGAAAACAATAATTATCTGATTGCTTCTGCTGTGTTTTGCTGCTTTGGAATGTGGTTGGAGATTGTTTATCCAACATGTGAATTGTTTTAACTTTAACCAGTCACAGTCTCTGGAGAGAGAGTCAGGAGTTTTCATTATTATCTTTTAGCCTTCTGTCTGTGTCCTTTCTCTATTCTTTAGTATATTTTGGTACAGTATAGTACAATATAATATAATATAATTATAATTAATGTAGTATAATGTAGTGTAATGTAGTACAATGTATTATAATGTAGTATAATGTAATATAATATAATAGAATAGAATAAATGTAATGTGATATAATATAATATAATATAATATAATATAATATAATATAATTAATGTAATAGAATAGAATAGAATAGAATAGAATAGATGTAATGTGATATAATGTAATATAATATAATTAATGTAATGTAATAGAATAGAATAGAATAGAATAAATGTAATATGATATAATATAATATAATATAATATAATATGTAATATAATGTAATGTAATGTAATGTAATGTGATATAATAATATCATATCTATCATATCATATCATAAAATAATAAATTAACCTTCTAAAAAACATGGAATCAGATTCATTCCTTCCTGCCACAGAAAATGCCACACTTGGCCTTGCTGGACTCGGAACTGGGGCCAGTGTCCCCCCAGTGCCACCAGCTCCAGGCCCTGGCAGCGCATCCCGCCTGCTCCCAGCTGAGATTCCTGGTGCCACCAGCACGGGAGCTGCCCTCAGCCTGCTGTCCCTGCCAGGGCACTCACAGGAAGAGGTTTTCCATGATGTAGTGGTAATCAGCCAGGTTGCTGTCCGGGAGGTAGCAGGCAGCAAAGACGATGATGGCGTTCAGACCTTCTCCGTAGTATCCTGCCAAAAAAAAAAAAAAAAACACACAAAAGTGACACTTTCCAGGGAAAATGGGACAGCTGAAGGAAAAACAGCACTGAAAGTTGGCCCTGCGGTGGTTTTTGTGTCTCTGCTCAGCTCCAAGAGGGAGTTTCTCTCTTCAGACGTCTCCGCTGTGAGATTTCCTCCTGGGTTTGGTTATAACGTCCCACAGAAGGGATTTGGGGGTTTTAAAGCTGGGTTCTTCCTTGGCTTTGCTTGGATTTTGGAAACAGACCTGGCTGCACACGTGTGGGCCCTGGAGCACCTCAGGGGCTGGCACAGATGGAAATTCCACAACCACTAAATATTTTATCACCATCTGAGCACTTTTGCGCTTCTCTGCCGCGCGCGCACCTACCAAAAACCCCAAAGATTTGCCCCAAAGATGACTTTCCCCCTAAACAGCGTCCAGCCAGCCTTGGTGTCCCCTCCAGCGTGACACAGAGGGACAAAGTCACGAGGGCTGTGGGCTCACCTCCGTGTGTCACCACCCTCATGTAGGGTTTGATCATCTGCAGGTCGATCCTGTGCTCCTGCTCGCCGATGATGACGGTTCTCCAGAGGCGGCCGTTGGTGGCACTGCCATCCTCTGTCCCCCCGTCCCCAAACAGGTCTGCGCTGTCCCCGGGCATGTTCTTGGCCGTGGCCACGGGGGTGTCATCTGGGAAAGGGACAAAGAGTTCTGCCTTGAGGAGAAATTGGGAAGAGCTTTGGGGGACCCCCAGGGACGAGGCTCTGATGGGGTTTCACCTCCAGCCTTGGTCTGGGCCAATTTATTCATCAATTTTCTTTTGCTAACACATAAAAAAAGATGTTATAACTTTGAAAAATAAAGTATAATTTGTATACTTTTGTATAAATTTCTCCAACCATTTTCTAGCCCTTTGTATAAATTTGTCCAACCATTTTCTACTCCTTAGTATAAACTTTTCTAACCATTCAGAAAAGGGCATGATCCCACAGGTTTTAATCTTGCTCTGCTGCCCAAATATTACAGAAATAACTTTAAAATCTCCCTCTGCTTATCAGTCCTCAGCTGCTGGTGGTGAATTGCGTCAAAAATCTTCAAAGTGAGGCTAAAACCCACCCCAACCCCTGGAAAAGTTCACCCAGAAGCAGCTTTTTACCTTCCCATTCCAGCTCGTTGCCATTGCCCAGGAATTCCAGGGAATCTGTCTCATCAGGAGTCTCAATGTCGTCCACATTAATGTCCAGGTCATCTGGGGTGTCCAGGAAGTCGTCGGAGAGGATGGAGCCCTCGCTCTGGTCCAGGGAAATGTTGATTTCGGGTGCAACCAGGGTCTTCCTCTTCCGATGGGCCCCGTTAAAGTTCAAAGTGTTGGGGGGAGCTGGAGTTCAAAGGAAAATAAAACTGACAGGGTGTGTGTAGTTTGGACAGAATTGTGTGATCTCACAAGGCAAAAAAACCTTAGATTTCAGGTTTTAGTGTATAGTAACATATAGAAGCCAAGATAGAGAATTTTGGGTGTAGGTTATTTGTCTTTTTTACACCTTCTTCTTCCTTCTTCTTCAGTTTTCTGTAATTAGGTAAAAGATGCTTGTGCTGCAGGTTTCAAGTAATCATAATTGAGTTAGAAGCATAAAGAATATAGATATCAACTGTTTATTAAACAATTAAGACTTAAATAGCCTTGAATAAACACCATTTTAGCTCACTTTCTCGACTGCTTAGAGAGAGCTCACATCTCATAGGTTTGCAATAAATAAAGATAATAAACTTCAATGCCAATGTCTCCTGAGTTTTATGCACCCTGACCTTAGAACAAGAAAGAGCCTGGCATTCCAACACGTGGTGCTGCTCCTGGATCCACAGAGCAGGGCATCCTCGTGGATAATTCCTGATGGAACACGGACCTGGAGCCCTCAGGGTGGTGGGTCAGACTGGGAGCACTGGGATGGAAATCCCAATTTCCTCCCCCAGCTTCTCAGGAGAGATGAACAACTTCAAATCCCTGCTGGTTTCCTCTCCCACGTGAGAATTATTATTATTTTTTTTTTCTTTTTTTTTTTTTTTTTTTTTTTTGGTGGAGAATCCAAGGTTTTCTCCTCTGGGCTCTGCAGAAGTTGGTACTTACAGGACGTGGTCTCGTCTTCCGTGGGGCTTCCCAGTGACTCCATCCCTGTCTCTTCTGGGAGAGGCCTGCAGGACAGGAGGGACAGCAGAGAGCAGGGGAAATGTAGAGGAAAATCATCCTGAGGGAATGGAGACAGCAGGGAAAAAGCCCAGCCCCACCTGTGCTCTGCCCTTTCCCTGCTCTCACCCCGAGGGATTCCCTCAGGAATGTGCCCGGGAGCAGCCCAGGACCTGGGCTTCCCTCCTGGCGTGCCCTGCAATCCCCACTAACCTCCCAAGGGATGAAAAACCCAGCCAGGGAACAAATCCTGAGCCCCAGATGACCTTGGCAACACCCTCCTTGTCTGTATTATCCTCATTTTCCCTCTGTAGGGACTCTGAGGGGCAGTGCCCGGCCCTGGGGCTCCTCGCTAGGGCACCCCCTGTGCCCAGGGCTGTATCCCTGTTCCTGGCAGAGCTCTGGGATGGGCACGACCTCGGGGAGGGATGATTTCACCCCAGTCCAGCACAGCTTTATCCACAACTTCCACAGCTCCACAACTTCCACAGCTTCCCCAGGAATCTCCTTGGTGCTGGCTCTGCCTGGGACCCGTGACCCCAAATTGTCACCTCAGCCCCACTGGGTGACTCCCAGCCCCTGCTGAGGGTTGGAACTGGGTTCATTCCGTGCTAAAATCCAGGCATCAGCATCCAATCCCTCTTTTTTGGAGCCCCCCTTCCTTTCCTGGGGTTTGCAGGCTCTCAGCTCCTGCACCCTCCTGGCTCAGATCAGGATTGAAAAGTTTTCCTTGCTAAAATCAACCCCCAGGGCACGGCTGGCGCCCTTTGGCAGCTGCTGGAGCTGCTCCTGCTCCACACTGGGCTGAGAAAAGTGGGAATTTGGATTTGCTGTGCCTGAGCCTCCCCCTGGGCACTCCCGGATGCTTTTCCCCTTAACGGGAGCTGGGACTTGTTCTGCCCGCTGGAATTATCAGCGTTTGACATTTCTTCACCAAAACCCCACCAACTCCACCGATCCACGCTGTCAAATCTCTGTTTGAGACACCGCCCTCCCGTCAGCTCCCCCTGCCCAGGGAGGAGCTGTCAAATCCTGCTGCTGGGACAGGAGCAGGGACAAACCCGGGGATGTGCAGGATGAGGATGACGAGGATGAGGATGAGGATGAGAATGAGGATGAGGATGAGGATGAGGATGAGGATGAGCCTGTGCAGAGGTCGCTGCCCAGCAGCCTGATGGCCCCGCGACACAGGAAGGGAGGGAGGTGACAAAGGGGACAGGACCCAGCCCCTCTCCTCTCCCCGCTGCCACCAGCCAAATTAAACCCTATAAATATGTAGATTAAGGGATAATCCTCCGCCGCTGCTCACTGCATATTTATGAGAGCTCAGCACCGATCAAAGGCACGTGCGGGACCCCGGGGGCTGCCCGGACCCTCCGGAGCAGGGGGAAACTCCCCGTGCCCCCTCAGCTCGCCCCGTCCCGTGCCCACCGGGGCTGGCGGCTGTTTATCCCGGGAGCTGGCGCCTGGCACGGTTTGGTGACACAGCATCCAGCTGGAGAGGGAGGGAGGGAGGGCAGGGGGGGCACTGCTGCCGGGTACGTGCTGCTGAGCCCGGGCTGCAGCTCCGGCTGGAAAAGGAAGGAAAAGCCTGGCTTACCTTCCCCGAGGCTGCTGCGATGCCATCGCTGCCTCCTCCCGCAGAACCCTCCTGCCCCAGTGCGCTCAGCCCCCCGGGCCAAATTCGGGGGGAGCAGCGCTGCTGAGAGCCGGGGCTTTGCTCCGTGCCCGTGCCCCGTGCCCGTGCCCCGTGCCAGCCCCTGCTGGCAGCGATGGAGCGGGCACGGCGGGGAGAGAGGCGGGAGGGATGCAGGGATGGATGCAGGGATGGATTCTGGGTTGGATGCAGGAGTGGATGCAGGAGGGATGCAGGAGGGATGCAGGAATGGATGCAGGAGGAGATGCAGGAATGGATGCAGGAAGGATGCAGCGATGGATGCAGCGATGGATGCAGGAGTGAGCATGCTCCCGCTCCGCGCCGCCCGCTCCTCGGTTACGGCATCCCCGCCCCGGGCCGGCCGAGCCGGGCCGGGATCAAAGCCGGGCAGTTCCCTCCCTCCGCGGCCCCGGCTCCGGAGCTGCCGCCAGGAAATGCCGGGAATGTCGCCCCGTGCCCCCAAGGAGCGTCTAGGTTCTGTTTTTTCTGTTTTCCCAGCCCGGATCTCTGTCTAGGATGTGGCTTTTTCTTTCCTTTTTTTTTTTTTTTTTTGGCTAATGGCAGGCAGGCAAAAATAGCTCTGCAGCAAATCAGCTGCTGGAGAGCGGCTGTCCCACATGCAGCAGCTTCTGCCCTATTATTCCAATGCTTCCAGCGGGGAAGCGGCTGCAAAAGGACAATTTATTTATTTTTATTGCGAGTAGAACCCAGCTGGCTTTCCCTCGTTTGCCTGGGGGCTGTTTGGGCTCTGTCTCGCATCGTTCCTGCTCCAACCCCTCCGGAGGAGGCTCCTCCCAAGGGCTCGGCCTCATCCCGCCCCGCTCACATCCCTCTGCTTCTTCCCTGTGCTCATTTCCAGAGCATTTTCCCTGGCAAAATCCCTTTCCCAGGGATTTGGTGGTGCTGGGGGCTTTCCAGGAGAATTTTCCCTGGAAGGCTGGGCCGTGGTTTGCTGCTGGCACGGGCAGTGTGGGACAGAGCTCCCAGGTGATGCCTGCCTTGCTGCCGAGGCGTCCCAGAGCCAGACCAGCTTTATCCCGGATTTTCTAGGGAGCTCTGGGACAATATTTTCCTTCCTACACCTGGATTTCCTGTCTCTATTCTCTGAGCAGCCTGGTCTGCTGGAAGGAATCCCCACCTTTGGAAGGGAGATGAGTTCTAAGGAAGCTTCCAACCCAAACCATTCCACGATTCCCATCCCTCCATCCATCCATCATCCATCCATCCATCATCCATCCATCCATC